TGGTGCAAGTGTGTGTAAAACAGTAGGGAGCTTTGGAATAACATTAGGGCCTCACTGAACCATTTCTGAGGCAGCTGCTGATGGTTAACAGGGTAGGACAAGTGCTTGCAGTGTTGCACCTTAATGCCCTGATTCACCACTGGAAAGGACTCCAACTCCTTCTGCAGTATCTGAACATTAATGCAACCCACTGGCTTTAAGGATGGAATGACTAAAGACTGAGTTACAACCACCTTCTGTATCTTTGCAATAAATAAGCACATTTTTCTTTTCTTACATTAAACAAAGGAGACATGCTGAATGCTCATTTATTGAAAAATTCCAGGTAATATAAATACACTCAAAATAGGAGTCAAGTTGCAATTCCACTTCCAAATACAAGTCAACCCCTTTGCAACCTGGGGAATAGAGGAGAGCCAGACCCAGCTCAGCCCAATGCTCCTCCCTGCCATTCCTCCCCAGGCACATGTGTTCCAATGTATTTATCTGGGAAGGCTCAGGTCAGTCCTGTGCTGTAGGAGCATCTCCTGCAGCTGGAACATCTGAAGCAGGTAGTACTCCATGTTATAAACTGCTCATGCAGCAGACTGAGAAAAAGGCACTTCCTGGTCACCGGCTGTTGCCGACTATAGGAAAATGAAAATACAGCACCTCTGCACCTGTTCACCTGATGGTGAAGGAAGGAAAAGCCATTACCGAGTGACAGGAGACGAAAAACCAAAATCCACTTCAGCAACTCATCCCAGCACTGGTGATTAATCTCACACTCACACAGCCTGAGGCACATTAACCAGATAATTAATAATTTCTTTAGGGACTCCAGCTCGGCAACTGTTCTATCAACCTGCACAGCATTAAGAGAGAGATGCTGCATTTGTGATCAAACTGCTGGAACTACCAAAATGTTCTGCAGGAACAGTAAAAGCTTCAGAGCAATCTGTGAGCCCAGTTTTACAAGTAACTGTAACATATGTGCAGAAATCAAGGCTGCTCCTTTATCAGTGCAATCACCAGACTCAAAAATCTGAGCAAGATCAGCATAATAAGAAAAATTAACAGCAATGCCCAACTCCATCCAATCCCCATCCTTCTCCAGCAGAAGAGCTTCTCAGTATTTTTTAAACACATTCTCCTTGATGCAGTAGCACAGTATGTCCAGTCATGCACTTGGACTATCCTTGGTATGAATAACACATCAGATTCATTTGTCTTACAAAAAAAAAAAATTAAAATTAAACAATAAAAAAGCCCAACACCCTATGTGTCATAACACATGTGAATTCTACAAGCCAAAGGCTTTCAAGCAATTCAAGTAAGGAAGATGGCACAGCTCTTGCTAACAACTTTTTGCCACCCTTTGTGCACTCATCCTCCATGTTCAAGGACAGTCACACAGGATCTGAAACACAATACCAAAGTGCTGGCACCACATTATCTCCCCCAGCACTTAAAAATAGCCTGCTGAGAAAAATCATGGTAAGTATTCTTTCCGACATTAAACTCTCCAGTGTGTTAGATATATGTCAGTATGCAGTGATTAAGAATGACTGATAACTAATAAATCACACCCACAGAGAGTGACCAGGTATCATTGCTTTCAGCCTCTGAAAAGAAGAGATAGATTCACAGTTCTGCCTAAGTAATTTTATCTTTCCAAATGAACGATCCTGTGCAACTGCTGCTAGCAAGGAGATGTTACTTTTTTTTTTTTTAAATGGACTTCAGAATAATAAGCTATTTGGGTTGCTTTTCCAGTAATAATTTATTGTTATCGTTACTGTGCAGGTAAGGAAACAGAGACCCACCACATGTGAGGGTCTCAAAGCTTCCCCACCACAGAGTAGATTTCTAAACAAAGCTGGAACTTGTCCTTTCATCACACAACTACTCTTCCACCTGAGAGAAATCTGGAGCTCAGCAGAGTATCTGCCTTCTAAAAGATATCTTGCTCCTCAGACTCAGGTCCTGGAAATGGGCCTGTGCAGAGCTTTAGTGACAGCCACGCACATCTGCACAACTCACCAGATATTGCCACATGGACCCCAAAGCCTGTTCTAAGACTGGGTCAGTAACAGAGAATGCTTTCTTTTAGTCCATACCATGGCTTGATTTGCATTTCCCTTCACATAACTAAAAGAAGTATACACCAATTCTTTAATCATCTACTTTAGTAGATGATTTTAGTTTATACCACTCTGCTCACCATATTATTTGAGCCCCTTCATTTTCATAGTGTCAGTTACCATTATTCCATTAAATTAAATCCTTTTACAAGCATCTTTCTATAAACATGCACTAGAGATAACATAGCCACATGGTGAGGATTCACAGACTACAGTAAGCAGATTACACCTGTCTTGATTGTCGTTGTAGCTGTCGGCAGAGTATATTCTCCCATCAAACTGCACACAGATCTCCTCATTAAAGCTACAGAGGAGAATAATTACAGAACAGTACTTTACAGTTTACCAATTGGTCTTGCATACATAATGGCCTATCAAAGAAAAATTGCATCCTCCAACAGCTGGTAAAATATTTAAATTGTTATAAGTCTTATTTAAAATAGCCAACGTTTTAAACTGTCCAACAGCTTGCCTCTTGTTCGCAAAGCAGACAGATAGAGGTGATCACACCCAAAAAGGTCTTTGACTCCCAGCCCATAAACAGAGTGACTTTTCCCTTTACAAACACTCTATTCCCCAACCTTCTGTTCCACAGTAAAATCCTCTCCTGAGAAATTATGCTGATTGCAGAATAAACCTTGAAAGCAAATGGGTGGTTTTCTTGATCTCTTAAGCCCTGGTGCTGAGTGCTAAGCATCACATTCCCCCACATCCTCACTCCTTGATGGGGAAACAGGGAGTCTGTCAGGACCCCACCACCCTTCTCTGACCAGCGAGGGTCTCAGGGGCAGTCTGTTTATCTCCAGCCACATCTGAGGTTTCCTTCCAGCCATCAGCACCACCAGAAGGTCTCCGTGATTGGCAGCTGGCCAATGAGGTGCCAGCTATCCCAGATAAAAGATGCTGGAGAGGTTGCAAAAATCTGCAGAGGGAAGCAATCTCCTAGTGCTTCTGTCCCTGGCCTTTGACAATCCAGAGCTGAATATACTGAACTGGCAGTCCTGCAGAGCATCAGGAAGACTGATTTTTCACCCATGTTGATAGTTAAAGCATCTGACCTGTGTTTGTGTTAATGGATAAAAGGCAAAACCCATTTTTGGATGCTATTTGCATTCCAAGATCCCCACTGTTAGGACCTTCAGCTCCACTCAGTAACCAAACCCATCGCTCTTCAGGCACCACTTCTGAATACCAGCTCTTACTCATCACATGACAGACAACAGAAGAGGAAAAAGCCCAGACATGGGAAGAGCCAAATTCTTCAGATGAAAAAGTCAAGTTAGCCCAGAAGCAAACCTTCCTAAGCACATATTTGGGGCCCAGCAAAATGTCCTGACATGCTCTCCTACTCTGCTAAACCAGGAACTGAGATCTGAGAACTTCAGCAACAAGAGAAATGCTGCTGGACCAGTCCCACACATTTTGGTTCTCCCAGATTTTTACACAAACACTCCAAAAGGGACCTTTCTGTACAAGCAGCCCAACAGCCACCTTTTCCCAGCTCTGAGGGACAGTGACACAAGCCACCTAAGCAGGCAGAGGGACACTCACCATGCAAACGCATCTAACTGTGTGCAGTGTTAAAACCACCAGAGAACTAAGTCACACTCTGAAACAGCTCTCAGTACCAGCACTGCAAACGATTTGCTGCTGCACTTTACCCAGCTGCACCTCCCAGACGAGCTGGCATGCTGCAGCCTTGCTTCCAGTCTCTCTCAGCTCCTTACTCCTAACAGGGACACGCTGACAAAAGAAGCTGAGCAGAAAACCAAACAGAGCAGAGCCTGCTCCAGCCAGCAGGCAGCCCAAGGTTGCTCCTATGAGCTTGGAAATCTTTGGGTTTCTCTTTGAGAACTCCCCATTTGCAAGGCTGCACCTCATGCTCCAGGGTGGAGTTGGCTGCAGGCTCAGCCAGATCACCCAGCCTGACCTCCTATGCAAACACTGCCGAGTAACCTTCACCCTTTTAAACACTGCTTTCAACTCAGCAACTCCAGCATTTTTTCTAATTAGCAAGCTTGGGTAGAAAGAATTCCTGGACAGTCTCTCAACCACTGTTTATTTTCCACATGGGGGAAAAAAAAAAGAAAACACACAAACTTTCTGTCTCTGCTACAAACCTCACAAATTTTGCAAACTTGTTCCTGGGGTCCCAGCATGGGCAGAATCTACCCTGTGACCACAGAAGGGTGGTCCTACACCAGGAACTGGGCAGAAAGGCCCAGCACTGACAACACATGGACCCAAGGATATTTTGTCCTGGCCTTTAGCCTGCAAAGAGGAGCCCAGCAAGACCTCCTGGGGCTTAGTTCTTATTTCAACTCTCCCTCATAGAGCAGTCTCACCACAGAGAAGTCAAAAATAGCTTTGCCATCAATTGCCACAGTAGCAAAGTTTAGTTCTTTGGGAAAATTTTCCTTGACTTCACCAGTTCTGGACCAAAACATTTATCAAGAAAAGCACATTAGCTATTATAGCTTGCATTAAAAATACAAATACCTCACAAAAACTGTGAATGTTAAGTTTTAGAGGTCTTCAGAAAGCTTTTCCTTTCACTGCTTTCCCCTGACACTACTGACTATGCATATTCAAATTCTCCATTCAAAGGTATTCTGCAATAAAACAATCCTTTATTAATTGCCAGAACACATATCCCATGACTTTTCAGAAGAACTGAGTGTCTAATGTGTCTTTACAAAAGATCATAATTTCACTTTCCTTTTCTTACTAGAAGAACAAGCCAGCCTGGCAAGCAGAGGGAAAGGTGTAAGACAGCTTCTGACTAAGACATAATACACAGGATTATCTGGAAATTGCCAAATTAGGAAATATGGTTTCCTGGATGGAGAGAGAAGGGTAAACCATATCTGCCCCAGACAAAGACTGAAGGGAAAGGGAAAAAAAAAGAAGTATCAGTTGAGTAGAGAAATCTGTCACAGATATTTCAGTAGATCAGGACTCTGACTATGTATCAGAGAAGAGAAGCCCTGATCAAGTCACATGCCCTTTACTACAGAAGATAAGATCAAAAGGTTTCAAAGGAAACTGATAGTGACAGTTCCTTCATTTGTATGCAATGTGACATACCAGATCCAAACTGTTGGCTACTTTTTGAACTATTTGTCAGGGGAGAGAAATTATTATTTTCTTTTATATTTTACTTTCAAGAACTTTTAGTCATTTGGGGGTTCTCCCCCCTGCTCTGTTTTATTTTTCAGCCAGGATTCAAACGTTCACCTTTGATGTAATATTTTTGCTGCACATTAAAATAGCTATGCCAAGCTTCAGAAGGACAATTAAATACAGACAATGAAAAGGATTACATCACTTCAAACATGAATTTTAATAAAATAATTCTAAAGAAACATCCCTGGTGATGATTATTTTCTTTTCCCTGTATCTTCTATTTTACTCTTTCCATGCGTTTGCAACAATTCAAATTATTGCCAGGCTAGCAGCTGTAGTTGACTCGAAGCCATCAGCTTGCATACCAGCAGAAGTATTTCTCCCTGTTTCTCACTGCTTCTGACAAGAAAAGTGTTAAATATAAGATCACAAGTTGCTTGTATAGCCAATAGGCTGTATAACAGTTATATTCACATGGCAGATAAGTAAATGGGGGACTTGTGACTAGCTCAGCTTCTCCAGGGCCCAGACCTGATGGGCTTCAGCCCAGAATTCCCCAGCAATGTGCAAAATCTGCAGTTGCTCATTACATGTTAGCAAACTTGCTCTAAAACCATGCCCTTGTTTCCAAAAAAGGGTACCAAACACCTTGTCAAAGTTCATCTGTGGCACTCAGTATTCATGAGCCGGTGATATGTGTAAGGTAATAATATTCTCCCCAAAGTGTTGTGAAACATTCAGAAACTGCAGTAGCTGCAGCCACGAAAGTATCTGAGACAGCCAGACATGAAAAAAAATATGTTGCAGTCTCCTGGGTGAAGGAGAAGGTACTCAAATCACAGAAAAGCAATACAACATTCACTTCTAGCTCTGGTACAGCACAATACATCACATTTTAAAGTTGCAGCATTTGGTTTCAAATGAGACAAACATTTAAAATGTTTCAAGCTCTTATATAAATCCTTGAGAATCCTGGAATCATGGTAATAAACGATGCTGAATTTAAGGACTCAAGTCTAAGCCCCTTTAAACACAGCAGGGGAAAGGAATAGCTCTTCCAATAATATTTTTCTCAGTCAGGCCAAATATTTTTGAAGAAAATTGTTTGGAATACACAGCTTATGTGTACAAGTCTATTGAGAACTTACACAGATATTTAGAGAGAAATTACTGCAGTACACAGATTTAGAGTCACTTAGAAAGTGTTAAAAAGCATATGACAGTACCTTGAGTGCATTAAGCTGCTGTCAGAAACTCCTGTCAGTGAAGTTTTTTCTCATCATCACCTGCTCTCTGTCCATGCAGCCCAGACCTTCCCCGGGGCTGTTGTGACATCCCTTGTAGAACAGTAAGAGAAAAAGAGCTGCACCTTCCCCACCAGGTTCCCAGCTCCCCAGCCAGCCTTCAGGGCTCCTGCTCCAGCCCTGCTTTCCCAGAGCTGCAGCTGCAGTCCATCTGCATCTCCTCCTCTGACACACACCGGAGCAAACATGCCCACAGTTTCCCTTGCTACTGTACCAAAGCCTTGTGATTCATTCTTTTTATGTTCTTGAGGCAACATAAATCACAAAATCCAAAATCCACATGAGGAAGTCACTCTGGTGTGACCCAGCACTCACCTCTCCCACCTGCGCTGACCTGAAGACCACTGCACGAGGAAATACTTTACCAAGTGATTTTCCCTTCCTCCCTGTGGGTAAATTCTAGCTCTGAATTTCAAAAGCTGCCACTAACACACAAAAAGCTGGAATAAATCCCTCTCCTGGACATGCAAACACGCTCAGTTTCATGTGACTTGCAGCTAGCCTGAAGAGCTTGCACCCTGCCCCACACATCACTAGCTGGTTGTGCAACAAGACCATGTTTCATAGGCACAGCCCTGCAGCCAGCAGCCCTGGTTGCAAAACACCCCATAATTGACATTCTAACCCACATTATCTGCCATGTACTTGCAAGGTGCCCACTAGGGGCAAACCTAGTACACACCAAACCTTCAGGAGAAATAGAAATTGAAAATGCAAACTCAGACTGGGCATCACAGACTGGTATGGATTTAATATCCCTGACACATTCATAGGGGATATAAAACCTAAAGAACAGAGTAAAGAAATCCCATGGGCATAAAAAAATACATACACATGTACGTATACACACAGATATAGCAGTCTTACCACCCAATTTCTGACACCAAACTCAAATAGCGAAGCTATTCTTCCTTGGCTCTCTCAGCAGAGAGGAACAACACAGCAAGAAATCACCTTTTCCAGAGGTGTTCAAGAGTTAAAGCCTGGAGAAGGTGGCCCCTTGAAGTGGCTACTGACCTGCATTAGGAGTCTGACAGGTATAGGGAGCTCTTCTCACACTCTCAGCAGGTGGCCCAGCCTTGAGCAGACTGAAGTGGATGCTGGTTCACTTGAGTACACAGGGCCCTAAGTAACTAAAATTCATCTGCTTGCTGAAACTGTCCCTGCTACAGAACAACAACTTCCAGAGGCAGACAGGCTTTCAGTTATCATTAACCAAATCAGCCATTCAGGGTCAACTGCAGCTAGGTATGAATCAGCACGACCAAGCTTTTAAAGTAGGTGTTAAAACCCAGGTGAAACTCATCCCCTCCTTCCCCAGGTGCTAAGCAAACCACCGGTTTACCCCTGTGCTGCTGGGTGGGCTTGTGGCTTCTGCCAAAGATGTGGTGAAAGTGATGACTGCAACTGGGAAAGACTGGATACACCTTCCCCCATGGGAACACAGGCATGAGGGGTAGCTCACTTTGTATTTCCCAGCAAGGCCACTGGGTTTTCTCCCCTGTGTAGGTGTTGTGTGTTTGTTCCATGCCCAGGAGATGGAACAATTAAGATGTGCTCAATACCCTTCTGCTGCCCACTCAGTGTAACACCTTAGTCATCAAATTGTCCTATTGTACTGCTCAATACTTTCTATAACAGTAGGAATATGAGAGTATGTCCAAAGATAGCAATGAACACACAAGGTAATTATTTTTAAGCTTGCTAATCACAATCAATAGTTTCTTAGCAAAAACTGATGAGCTGGAGTTGGCTCCTATTTTTAACCAATAAGAGATGCAGTCAAGACTTGAATTACACCATCGGGCAAGTCTCCAAACTCCTAATGACTGCCAGCCAAGAGAAGGATGGGTCCTTGGTGGGTCGTACTCCCTTCCCGAGCACGGTATCAAGCATTTTTTCCGTAGACTATGAAGCCAGAAGTGGGTTGTAACTGCTGGATGACTTCACCGAAAACACCACACAAGAATCTAACTCCATACATCAAAAAGGAGTCATACAATTCTTAAAAAGCCTGAGGATGTTTACTTGAAGAGTTTGAAGTTTTGTAGCTGTCAAATAAAAGATAAAATCCTCATAGAATAGCGCCATGTGCCTTCCAGGGGTGTACAATTAGGAACAGATGAATACAAGTTGAAAACTCATTATAAAGCACACACCCTCTCCCTATTTTGGTAGGATTTTCCTTAAACTAATATTTCTAATGTTTTGCTATCCCTTGACTTTTTTTTTTTTTAATTTCTAAAGCCCTAAATTTCTTTGTTGCTTTTGGGAAATTTCTCAATTCTCTGCCACTCTCAGGAAGGTGTTATCTCCCCTACAAAAGAACCTAAAATAATTCCCAACATTCAGTACTGCAGCAATAATTCCCTCTTAGAAGAAGGAACATGTTTTCATTTGTTTTGTTTCTTCTCTCCACTGATTAAAAGCAACAATGAGTCCAAAGGAATAGTACAATACCATCAAGTAATTGTTGCCTCTCACAACAAATGTGAAGGGGATCAGGAAACACACCCACCCTTGATTACTGGGAAAATATCAGGGATAGAAGATGTCAGCAGGGGCAACTAATTCTGTTCATCAGTTTACACAGACGAAGGTAAGAGAGACCAGCACCAGCCCTCCATTCATTAGCTGTACGGAATTACAGTGGTTCGGGGGTGGCAGAATTACACAAGGAATTAATAATCCCTTCATCTTCCTGCCATAATACCTCCAGTTTGGGATATTTTCAACTTTGGTTCTGGTGTCTGCTGCTGGATGAAAATGGCTGAGTGATGAAGGCCTCTATGAGGTGTGCAGACGGGTCGGCACCTCTCAAGGAGGGACAGCAGCCCAGTGGTACAAGAACATGGCTTGGCCATTCCATAATTTCCAGACATCTAAAATGATCAATGCTTTCTGTGCTAGAAAGAGTGACACTGCTGTCTGTACTCAATGGAGGTTTTTGAAGCCTACTCCCAAACATTATATGCAGTGTCAGTGTTTATTAAAGATAACTAATGCCCTAACACTTTATTTACTTCTGTTTATTGCTATTTTAGCAAGAGTCACCAGAGAGTAGCTATGCTTCTGGTCCACCAGGGTTCTTTAATCACTGTTAGTAGGTAAAATCATGTGTGACAACTAATCCAAAAAGCAGATTATATTTATTTTGGCTACAGTGGCTTGCAATTCGTTAAAATCAACAAAGCCTTTTCATTAGCCCCCTGCTGATGTCCTAAAACCAGATATTTCAAGGGTCTCAAAGCACAGAGCTACACACGTGCAGTAAAGCTGGGACTCACAGACTTGCCGTTGCCATATTTACCGTAAAATCTTATTAAAAACAACAGCAAACTTCTTATTTTCTTTCATAAGAGGGCTTAATTTATGATCTCAAATTCCAAAATTAAAATCTTAGAGTCAGGACTTCTTAAATTTCAAGAAGTATAAGTGAATAAAAAATAAAGTCATCAGTTAATTACTTGCTCAGGGTTGTGTGTTTTAAAAAAAAGCTGTTGCAACACTGTAAGGAGTGAGATTACAGGTTCAGCAAGTCTAAATATTAGCCTACATGCTTGCTGAGCCCCCTACATCCTGGAACCACATTTGAATAATTGAATTTCTAGTTAACAGTGATCTTCTCATTCTCATTCTTTGTGATATCATGTCTCTGGCCATGATCTCCTGATGACAGTGCCTCAGACCCACGACCATGAAGACATACGCTTGGAATCACAGAGGATCAGAATAGATCTACACAAAAGTTACAGGGCTCCCTCTCTTCTCCAACCTCACTACTCTTCAAACAGTGCCAGGAAGTTCACAAACCCAAAAGAAGCCTTACCATAACCACCAAGGGCCAGCATTCAAATAAAATAGTAAATCAGTGAATCAGAAGGCCACATAATTGATTTATATATATATATATATATATATGTATACACTGATTTGCATCACTGAAGTTTTTCCTCTCTTGTTATGAATTTACTGAGTGACATGCATGCTTTTGGTCACTACCCTTTCACCCTCTTTCAGAGAAGTGACTTAAGACCCTTGCCACTCTGAAAAAAGCTACTCCTGACCTCCACTGCATGAGTCGTATTTATTTCCCACAGCTGGATGTAGATGTGGATCTGCTTTGCAAATTTTCATGTGTACTGCTGAAGTGGAGTCCTTGTTTGTCCCCCTAAGCACAATCTTGAACGTTGTCAAGGCCGATTATTAGACATCACTTCATACCAGCCCTTTCCAAATCTGCGGATCTCCAGTGGTTTAGAGGGAAGCCGAGAGCAGTCCTTTAGTGAGAGAACCAGTCCTAAATACCCAAACCAGCATGGTGCCAGGCTGCCCCTGAGACAGGAGGGTCACTTCATCTCCCTCAGTGCCACTGTCCTCCAGCTGGCTGCAGCCTCTCCAAGTTCACACACTGAACACAAGCTGGCTGCTGAAGCAGAGAATAAAATCCAGACTAGAAGGAAAACCAAGATACAAAGCTTTTCTCCAGTGGCTAATCAGAGTTCTGTCCACAGGGAAAACTGAGCCCCATCTGACATACAACTTACTGTTTTGGCTCTCCATAATTAAAACTATTGTTGCCATGGCAATACAAAGGCTGCTGAAAATACACACACAGCTCGTGTCATGCCTCTTTGGTGATACAATTTGTTGTCCCAGTCTGGCTTGTGCCAGGATGGAACAAAACGTGACTCGGAAATAGTTGACTTGACGAGGTTTGTTATTTAGGAATCAGACATTGTGTGAGCTGTGAGACCACTTTCTCAGGCTCCCTAACATGACCACTAATCCTGTTAAAGTCAATAGCAGTTTTAAAGATAATTTCAAAGAGAAGAGTTCTGATCCTACACTACTAAATTTCTCAAAGCACTATAAGGAAAGAATTTTTTTTAAAAGTACAGAGAATGATAAAGAACCAACCAGAAGGATTAATATGCATATTCTTAAAAGTAGATACAAAATTAAAATGCAAAAACCTGATTATAGCTTCAATACCACAAACATGCCGGGTATGGTTAGCATTTGTTTATTAATCTGAAACTGTGATCTCCACTGAGCATGTTTTAATCAAGTATAATTTACAGGTCACTCAATGACCCACGAACAGCGGCAAGTAATCTCCTACTGAAGAAATATCATCAAACATAACTCTTTCTGTAGATACACACCTATATAGGCATAACCCACACAGACACATCAACAAGTTTTTTATAGGATGGGACAACAATTTTAGTTTTGCAACTTGCAATCCAGTTATGTGAAAATCTCTAATAGGATTCCTGAGGTGCACAAGAGCTTAGTCATGTGGAAAACTTACAGGTGCAACTGTGACTTTTAAGGACTTGTATGGGAATATCTGCTACAACAAAAAGGTGAGTTGCAGAGACTTAGGTAAAAATCCCATTGATGCCAATGTCTGTTGACAACAGTCAGAGTTTTGTTTATTTCTGGACCGGAAAGCTTCATATGGCTCAAGCACAAACCAAGAGAGATGGCTGTGGGCTGGAAGGTAGACCAAGGAGGGGTGAGATCCAGGAGAGCCACCCAAGCAAGGAGGCAGCCACTTCTTTTATCATCTGGGTTATTATGGCTCTTATATTTCTGCAAAGCAAAATACTATCTATTATACAAATCCCAGCAGAAAGTTTGTGTGCAAATGCTTCAGCTGCCATGTGGCCGCTGTAAGATCAATTATAGATACGGGGATGGATCATGGAAGATCTCTGGGACAATCAGGGTAAAGCAGGAAGACAGAGTAGGGAGTGTAGAAAAAGGGTGTTCAGCAATGACATCTAGGGAGAGGGTCTGGGAACACCTGCTTCAGAGAATTGACACCACATGGACACTCTTTTCTCAGAGAGCAGCAAAAGAAATCTGCACAGCTCCCTGAGGAACAGATGCAGCACCAAAGTTCAAACAGGACAATCCAGGGGATGCCTTAAAGGCAGACGGTGATCGGTATCATGATGGTGTAGGTGTATGTAACAGCAATACAAAAAATTCAAACCTTATTGCTTTACCCCAACTGTTTTCCCCAAAGAAAGAGGAGGGGTAAAACAAAAAGGCATCATAGCAGTTGGACACATCATTTTATACACTCGTGGATAGAGCTCAGATACTCTGGTTATTAGCACATGATAAAATTCTATAAAAAACATGTGAGGCTATGGAAAAAGAATAGGAGGAAAAACTAATGGGCCAGAAGAACAATAAACTGCCAGATGGGAG